GTTTTTGCTATAGGGTGTGTGCTCTCACCAGAGAGACAGAGAAAGATAGACAGAAAGCGAGAAATCACACACACACACACACACACACCGGGAGGATAGCCACGCCGCAATCCCTTCTCCTTCATTCTCTCGGGATCTTGGGCACGCACGCACACACGCCCAGCATGAGTTTAAGCCACTGGATCCAGGACTCAAACTGTGGTCGACTATATGGAAGTCCAGCGAAATAGCCATTACGCTAACTGCTGGTCCTACGTCATCGCAGTCTTATCTAAGACACATAGATACTGTGGGTGGTATGAAATCTGACAGAGATCATCACACACAAGTGGGGGAGAACAAAGCAAGCCATTACTGCTGTCCGAGACAGGTAAACTGTACATTTGTACAGATGTGATGTCCGAATTTGCTCCATGTGGCTTCTTCTGTTTTAAGCTGTGTGTTCTGCTTCTGTCCAGTTACTTGCCTGCTGTGTATCTATTTACAGTCTTCTCTTCCCTACTCTTCCTCTGCTGGCATTGGGCATCTACAGTGCAGTGCTAGAGCCTCTGCCAGCCTTCGCTCCCCATCCGTTGGAAATGTTGCCCATGTAGAGTCCTAAAGATATCTGTAGATGCAACCTTCAGACCTGTCCTGTAGCCACAACCTTGTGTGGCTCTTATACTAGTAGCATGTGTCCCCTTCTCCTAAACCTCAAGTTTCAGCTACTCCCTCACGTATATTTGATGATAGAGCAAAACCCACTTTGTAACGAATTATGCTCTAGTTTAGATTCTCATATACCCTGAATCAGATCAGAGCCTGTCCTGATGTACACAGTGATGTATTCCAACCCTTCCTCTAGAGCACAAGAAAAGAATAACACAGGGTGTATGCCACTCCTACTCTGCTAGTAAGATAGCAAGAGTCTGTGAGGTGTAGAATAGGCCAGGTAGCCTGCCTGCCTCTTGTTTTCCCTCCTTGAACTAGTCCTGCAACTGGAACAGTAGCTCTGAGATGTGATCCTTCCTCCCCACTAGCTGAAGCACCTTCGCTGGGCCCACAGCTGCACAGGAAGTGCTCACAGGACCGGGTCAGGGGATAGGGCACTGACCAAGAGACCCTACACTGGGGACACAGGTGAGGAGCCCTTCTAGCCAGCCCTGGCTGCAGCCCGTTGTTGCTTGGCACAGTGGTTAAGGGTAGCTAACTGTAAATGCTGGAAAGGCTGGAGGACTGTGTGAGACTCATCCAGGACCCCGATCTAGCTCAGCTCCTGCTCGTTTGCCCTGGGAAAGGCCTATAAGGCCCTAAATGTGCCACCCGCAGCTGGACTCTCCATTTCCACCTCCTCCTACCAATCTGTCTTGGAGCACCAGACTCTGTGTGGTTCTCCAACACCACGTACCATTTCATACCTGCATTCCCTCCTCCCACCCTTTGCCTAGAAAACTCTTGAGCCTTCAGACCACACCCCATGGACCAGCTAGTGGTATGGTGGTTAAGGCGGCTGAATTCCACAAGGCTGTCTGCATTGTTTGAAAAGTACGTTGGGTGCATGTGTATGCATTCATGCCCAGAACCTCGAGAGGAGGACAGGAGAATGGAGGAGAAAGGATTGCAGTATGGTCATACCCCCTGAGGAGTGTTCTCTCTCTCTCTCTCTCTCTCTCTCTCTGGCCAGTGCATGGCATATTGGGGGTGTCGGGGAACGGCCTCTGATGTCACCTGAAGGCATGTGCTCCCGGCCGTCTCTCTGTCTCTGATGCGTAGACACATTGCACGCACCCACGCTGCTCACCCTGAATCTGGAGGTCATTGTGGTGGAGTCCTTCCTGCCTCATTCCCCAGCCTTCACATGCTCCATCCATGTGTCCTGTCAGATCCACTTTCTCACTGTATCTCAAACACAGTCACTTCTCCATCTCTGCTCCCAGTACCCTGCTGTCAGTCACCTTTAACCCTCAACTGAGTATTTCTCTAACCTCTTAACTTGTGTAACTTGTGTCCCTGGTTCTCTCTACCCAGCCCCAATCTGTCACTTCTCCCAGAACTGAGAGGGATGTTCTAAAAACGTAAATCAGGCCCTACTAGCTTCCTGCTAACACCCGTCAGAGACTGCCCACTGCTCTTCTCAGCACAGCCGGGCTCTGAGCTGAGGCCTGGGAGACCCGGGAGGCCTGGCTCCGCCTGTTCCCCTGAGTGCACTCCAAGGCATCCTCCCTCGTCAGCACTGAGGACCAGCTCTCTGGCCTCCATTCAGGCCCTGGAGCCCCCCTCACCATCAGACCTGGTATATACTGTTTCTTCTCACTAGAGCTCTCCCCTCCACTTGGAGTGTGGCAGGTTGGCTCCTTCCAGTCCTTTTAGTCTCAGGTTAAAGGTCATAGTTCTGGAATGTTCTTTACCCCCACACTTACGCAGGACCCCAGTTTGTACTCATCACTGCCCTTGTGTGTTTTCCTCAGAATACTCATTACGAGTCTACATACCTTTATGGGCGGTGTCTCCCACTGGCCTCTAGACTTCAGGAGCTGGGACCACAGTGTCTGGTCTGCTCCTTCATTCCCAGTGCCTGTCACCACGCCTGATCGAGAGGTGGTGTTGGGATGTTGGTTGGATCAATCCATAAATGAACTGCTTGGGGGGTCCTTTATGTCCTGAGCAGTCTTTGATTGCCCTCATTGTAGAATGTCACCTTTTCTTGGTCTTCGGCCTTCTGTTAGACTGTGCGCTCTTAGGGCAGGGACTGCTTTTGTGTCCCTGCTCTCAGCCCCGGACACACAATGTTGGTACCAGGGGCTTCACGTCTGCTGGTCGCCAGCCCGCCTCAGGCACAGGTAAGAATAGGTCCTCTGCCTGCTGAGCCTTGCAGGGAGCTCATGGCAAGCCGTGAACTCCTGGTGTTCTTGTGTCTGCTACTTTGTTTTCTGTAGTTCTGAGATTCATAATAGAACCAAAAGTTGTCATAAAATGAAAACCTTCTTGATGAGTCAAATGTTCGAACACCTTCCCCATTTGACTCTTAACTTCTGTTGCCATACTTAGTTTTGACAGATAGTTCATCTTTTTGATGGTCCAGTTACAGTTGATTGCACAGTGATTCCATGAAGTGAGTGAGAGTGATTCGGGAGCGCTTCACAGATGCCACATCAAGCCTCTGACAGGTAGGGGTCTTGTTAATGAATGAGAGTGATTTGGGAGCACTTCACAAATGCCACATGAAGCCTCTGACAGGTAGGGGTCTTGTTAATGAAAAATCCTGATCAGGATGAAGACTTAAATGTTCTGAAGACAGTGCCTTGTGTGTCAGAGTATTAAGAGGGGACTAGAGACAATTGATGGAACTCTCAAATATTTTTGTAGAAATTAATGTCTTTTGTAATAGGACAGTAAAAGCCCAACACAAAATGGAGGATATTATACAGTGCTAGCGTGTAGTTTTACCAGAAGGATTACAGCCAAATTTCAATCAACTTTGATTCAGTGTTTATCCAGAAAATTATCTCCTAACTTCAATAAGAAACCTAAGTTTCTGCAAATACCAGGTAAAATGAAACTTGCTTTCATGATTTTAAATTCATTTTCTCAAAATAGAGCTTCTGTGGGTCCTTTTTGCTCCTATGTTTGTTATCTTGAATGAGTTCGTATTAAGTCACCTTTCCCACAATTGCCCTTTGCTGACAAAGACTCCTGCAGTAGTATGAGACAGACACGGCCCTGTCAGCACGTAAGTGAGCACCGTCCGCACTCAAATGTCTTGAATGCACCGGAAATGGCGCAAGGACTGTCCATTACTTGCTGTCTGTCCGTGATGAGGTAAGAGAAGGGAAAACTGCTTCGCCAGAGTCTGATAGACGCCGCATCCAGTCTGTGGGGTTTTTACATCCCTGCGTGTCCGCGTGGTCCTACGAGGCGTGAACA